GTTTCTTTATAAATGGTTCTTTTATCACTGTAAAGGTTTTTAATGTACGTATGTGATTTTACCGTGCATGCTGACCTGCCGTGTTCCACGCGGTTCAGGTTGCTTTTAGAGCCTCCCCTTCCTCTTCGTGGTCTCTGTGCATCACACACCAGCCCTCTGTCGCACTGGCAGTGGGCCTTGCGGGCACATGGGCAGGCAACACAGTGCCTCAGTTCCCAGATTGCCATCTCTCCAGATCAGGGCAGATTCTTTCTTCGATCTTATTCTCAAGTACATGCTCACCTGTGGTACAAAATACATTCTCTGTCAGGCATGAGCAGTATGCATGTGTAAAGTTTGGTTTATGTTTTCTTTCAAGGATTTAGAAATAGTGTGTCTATATTTTGTGCTATCTCTATATGTGCTTTTCTAACAGCCCCACACCCACTGCATGCACTTAATTCAGAACACATCTGAACAGCGTATGTATTATTTTGTGCTTTTTGGTTCAATTTGTTTCCCAGCTTTCCACCAAATGACACTCGGGGAGATAAGAATAAGGTAGAACAAGGTAAAAATCAAAATATAAAAATAAGGAGGCAAAACAGTAATTAATCAAACAGCTGAACGACTTGGGTGTTTATGGTGGTTAGAGCCAAATGCCTAGCTGGATCTCTTTACCTGATGAGGGAAGTTCATCAGAGAAGGGGCTTGGAAAATCTCCCTGATAAGTTTCAGAGCTTGGAAGTAGCTGCTGAGTAGGCCCATGCTCAACCTCCTGACAAACATGCTTACGGGCAATCTTCCAGCAAAAATCAGATGGATCCTCTGATCTCAGAAGCTTCCAAGTAACCAGTGCCCTGGTGAGCTGTTCCCAGCAGGACAGAGAGGGCAGCCATGATTCTCACTTCTCCATCTTGATTGTTGTACATTTTTTCCTTTAGATGGGCCTTGAAGCTGCCTGGACAAGGTATGCTGGGGTCTGGTCAGGGTGGGAGAGGCCCTAAGATTCCTTGGCTCCTGTGGGAGGCTGCAGGGGGAGGGACCAGTTTCCATAGTCCCAGTTCTGAGGCCCGAGCAGTGTCTGTGGTCTCAGAGGTGGTGGTGGTGGAAACCATGGAGGTGGGGATGCCAGACACTCCATCACCTCTGGGACAGTGTGTGAGGATCAGAGGATTACTGCCCAGGTGTCAAGTGGCAGTCATCCCTGACGTGAAATCTGGATCCGAGAGCTGTTCTGACGTCAACTGTATTCATACACAGTTCATTGCAATGCACGGTGTTTTTGACATTGTTCTTTCAGCTTTCTTAAAAGTTTGTTTCTGTTTCCAATTAAAGTAATATTTTAACATAACGGAGTAGCTAAGAAAAATGTGTAGTTACTGAGTAATTGAAATGATTGCAGTACTGTGCTTGATTTTTTTTTTAAATGGATTTTCCAAACTGGAGTTCATACTAGCTTTGATGGTTGACATTACAGATGAAATAGCGTATTTCATTTTGCCTTTGTGATGAACTGTGTATGAATAGTAAGGAGCGGATCTCTGCAAGGCCTGGCACACGACCTTATTTCAGTTTTCAATCTATCTCAAGTATATGTTCCCACGAAAGTCCACAGATGTCTTTCACTTCACAAGTTATGCTCATGAAAGAGAATTCAGCCACATTGATTGATTCTGTGCCGAAGGGAGATATCATTTGCTTGCAATTTCTGTACATTGCAGATTTAAGTCATAGCTAGCATACACTATCCTGAGTTATTGATTACCATTGGAGAGCATGATTTGTGTTTGGAGAAAATAGCGAAGCTCTTGCTGTGAATGTGGAGGTGGGGCAGGTGCACTTCATAAATTGCTGTCTTCAGCAGCAAGGCAGGTGTGCTCCCGGCAAGTTTTTCTGCATGCAGGTTCAGCGTGAAATAAACAGTATGAGACACACGTTCTCCCCAACCCTGCCCCCTGGCAATATACAGCTGGCTTTGATGAACAAGAACGTCTGCTTATGGAAATACCCAAAGGCTGCGATGATCTCATACTGATCTCAGTTACCACGTGACGGTGGTTGTGAGTGAGGCTCAGTTGGCAGGAGTGTTGCTGTAATGCAAATGGAAATATTTTCTGCGTTCAAATGAAACTTGGTAACATTGAACTTCTCTTTCCTTTATAGTGGTAAGCAAGGGTTTCATTGTAAATGCAGACATAATGATCATTGCAGCCAGGCCAGTATATTTTGGCTTCATATAGTTCAGTGAGCTGCTTTGGTAAATTACCGTATTTTTCTCTCTATAAGATGCACTATTTTTCCCCTCAAAAGTAAATGTCTGTGCGTCTTATAGAGCGAATGTGTGTGTGCCCGACGCCCGGGACGCTGCCAGCCCACCTGCACCATGTGGCACCACCTGGCCGGCACATGCTGCTCCGCGCACCCGCTCCGGCGCAGGTGAGAGCTGTGCCGCTCAGGGGGAGCGGTGCGGAGGAGGAGCAGCCATGGGCTTTAACCTGCCAGCCGCACGGAAAGATGGCTTGCTCACCCCCACCGCCTGGGAAGACCTGCTGCCACCGCCGCCACACCACCCGGAAGACCACTGCTGGCACGCTGCTGGCCCGCCTGCACCATGTGGCACCACCTGGCTGGCATGCGTTTGGCACGCCCTGCTCCGCCACCCCCCTGGCGCAGGTGAGAGCTGTGCCGCTCAGGGGGAGCGGTGCGGAGGAGGAGGAGCCGCAGGCTTTAACCCGCCGGCCGCACGGAGAGACGGACTGCTCACCCCCACCTCCCAGAAGACCACCGCCAGCATGCTGCCGGCCCGGCTGCACCACACCTGGCCGGCACACGCTCGGCTTGCCCTGCTCCGCCCCCCTCCTCCGGCGCAGGTGAGAGCTGTTAATCACAGGTCGATGTGTGTTTTCAAATGGCAACCCGTCTTTTAATGAAGCCCACGGGGAAGTGATGGGGAATGTGCCTGTGATTATCAGGAAGCTTTCCATGGATCCCTCCGCTAAAAACTAGGTGCGTCTTATGGTCAGGTTCGTCTTATAGAGCGAAAAATACGGTATGCTAGGTGATTGAGTAAAATGGCCATTAAAAGCAACGACTAAAGCAACTTTAGAAAAATTAGCTTTTATTTGGTTCAATTTAATAGGACCGGGTTGTTTTATTTGGCAGTTAGACATACCAGGTTATTAAAAAGTACCAAATCTATGAGTATTTATAGCCGAATATTAAAGTAATATTGAAGATAAATCATGCTAATAAAAGTATATTTTCCTAATGCACTGTAGGATAAGGAGCTACATTGCAATTGAATTTTGTCAGACATTGGCGTTCTAAAGTACAGCTTTATGGCTTGCCTAATAAAACCAGCTTTCCATGAATGTTACTTAATTAAGCAAATGGAAACGATTGAAGAACTAAGCCTAGATCCCAAGGGCTATACATGTATGCGGTAGGATATCCTATCAGGCAATGTATGCTTGTTTGAAAAGTCACTTCTTTGAGTCCTTTTGAAGAAGACTCAATTCAACCCATAGAGCTGCATTGAAAGAGCAGCAGAATAATAGTATAGGTCCTGCATATTTAGTTTAAAAATCAGTGGAGATACATATTTGTGATTATGGTCTAATCTTGTGGCATGTGGTTGCTTACCTGAGTGTAGAAAAGTCACAGCGTATTCTAGTGGGCATAGATTCATCTTGCTAAAAATACCATCTTTTGTCTTTCTTTAAAGTAAGTTTCTATCCCTTTATAGCAGCAGGGCTAAGCTTTTGAATGTGGGTGAGCAAAGACAGTCACTTTCAGGAAAAATAACAAACTGAAAGTGCTGCTAAATATATTCTTCAGAGATGAGGTTTCTGGCAGAAGAGTCAGAGTATGTTACGCAAAATAGGAAAAATGCTCTGTAAAACTATGCAAAATATGAGAGTGCATGCGTAAGCTGATAGAAAGATGAATTTGGGTTTCTCTTAATTTCCCAGATGCAAGATATGTAAGAGGGGACTATGAGATACAAAACTAACATGATTGAAACGAAAAGGCACAAAAATGGCAGTTAAAGCCATGTTGGATCTTCATTCCATAAACGGGGAACATGTGAATATGTGATTGCGTACTTGCCATTTGAAATGGAACCGTCTCAGGAAAGTTGCCATGGGATTTCACTGTGTACATAGACAAGTTCTTGGTGCATTCCAAGCAAATAACTATTGAAATGTTCAATATATTTCTCTTGACCTCTATTGTGCTAAGGTGCTTATGCTGTTGAAGATAATGGTGGGCTTATATGGTGGAAGATAATGTAACAGGTATAAAATATGTAGATGAAAGAGTGTGAGCAAAGGCACTTCAGTTTTTCGGCTGTAGGTCGCTTTGAGATAAACGCCACTTGGGAAGAGACTGGCAACTCTGAAGGAGAGTGTGGATTTGCTAGGACCAAAATAACACAACAGTGATTAAATGATTATCCCAGACCTTGTGTACTGAAGGAGTGCCGAGGCTTGACAGGTTGCAACATTATAAGGACAATGTCAACAGTTGTTAAGCCAACACCTTTACATATTCACCTGCTCTCATAAATAAGTTTGTTTTGAGTGTCTGTGAGTCAGGAAAGGTGGTAGGGTACATTCTTGGAAGATACAAATATATAAGGATTTATTTATTTCTTGCTTTCACAAATCACAAATTGGTTTACAATCATCCCAATATTCTCATAATATAAGGCCTTTGTAATTCCTCATATGACTACATAATAAAATCCAGCTCTATTTGCATTCATTGTATCATAAGTTTCATTGAAATGTCTTCTTACAAGGAGCTTACTTTGTTAATTTGTTTATGATACTTGTCTAAGAAATTTTCAGCATGATGATATAAGCTTGGCTGTTGTTACTGCTATTAAACAAAAAGAGCAACAGTGAGACTACTTATGTGTCTTTACAAGTGATTACAGAAAGAAGAAATATCTGGTTTCTTTCATCATTTTTGTTAATAACCAATAGTTAATTGGACCATTCTTTTCTCTGTAGATATAACACCTTACCAAGCAGAAGAACACTTAAAAATTCAAGATTAGTGAGTAAAAAAGATGATGTTCACGTCTGCATCATGTGTTTGCGTGCCATCATGAATTACCAGGTACTGAATTTTGATAATTTGAATGGATAACTTTCAGTGGAGGTATTCTAAAATTGTGTCATAATAGGCTTCTTTTTCTCAGACACAGGAGTAACTTTTGCAACTTTATATAAAACTAGAAAAGAATTAGTCATATGGACACAAAATGTTATTTAAAGCATCAGAACAAAAACCTGTGTGAGGAAAATTAGTGGTTGTCCCATTGGTTTTAACACTGGTATTCTTTAAAGGTGTAATGAAAAATTAGTAGTCTGGTTAACTAGTAAGTATATTGCAGTTAAGACTGGACACACCTGATTAGCATACTTGGTGGCAAGGAGGGTCCATCCCTACCGCAGTTTCACTATTTGTCAGTAACCATTGTGAGGCAATAATCCTCAACAACAGTAGTGGAGAGAACATTGATTTCTTTGACATATAAAGGTCACATCTGATGGCTATTGAATATTATACTTAAGCGGTATAATACAGAGTGAACAACTAGGAAAATGAGGAGGTGCTTTCAGTTATAATAGCTTTTGCTGTAGTGGTTGCATATATCACCCACACACAAAGTGGTGCTGCCCAGAAGTTTTTGGTCTACAATTCTTATCAGTCTTACCCCTTAATGTGCAGGAATACTGGGAGTTGCAGTGTAAATATCTGGAAGGTACCAGCTAGAGGAAGGCTGGCATAGACTCTCAAAGAATTTCCTTAGGGAAGAATTCAAAACAACTCCTAATGTGTGCCTTCAGAAAAGCTTAACATTTTAGATACTTTGATGAACATGCAAGATGAACTGAGATGATTAAAAGAAGGAATTTAAAAAAAGAAAAGAAAATGGGGCAGAAACACTGAAAGTCATCCTTGAGTTGTGTTTCTGCACATTCTTATATGAATGCAAATATTCATTTGCCAAGAGGTGTTGGAGGAAAGAGCTGTTGGTATGCCTTATTTAATTATAGTTTATGTTTAGACTTAATGCTGACTGGTTTTGTTTGGAATAGATTCCCAGGGCTAGGTAGAAACCCCCAGATCTGGTGATTATATCTTCTACCCAGTCCAGTCTTCAGCTGTAAATATGTCAAGCTAAAAACCTAACATGTCTTTAGAAATACAAATATTGACAGATAGACTTGTCAGAGTGTAAGAACTGGCTCTGAGTCCCAGTTTTTTTTTTTTTTGTATTTATTTAAAAATTTTCTACAACTCTTGTCATACACAGTATATTAAGGTGGAGTATAATAATACAAACATACAATATAAATATGCATCATAGCTAAATCAAAGTGCCATGAGTTGCATGGTACGTTTTGTGTCAGACCTGAGTTCACCATGATATAATGTGTGAAATTGTGCTAATTTGCCCCCTGCTTTTTATTTTTGCGTTTTTAATATGAGAGTGCATTCCAGATACTGAACTTTCTTTCCAATTTCCATTTCAGTATGGATTCAATATGGTAATGTCCCACCCACATGCTGTTAATGAAATTGCACTAAGTCTGAACAACAAGAACCCCAGGTAAAGGTCTTTTCCATGTTAGAATTCTTGGTGCAGAGTTCATTCTTTTTCTTGATCAAAGTTGCTCTCCATTTATGTGTGCTACATTAATTCCTTCTCTGACCAGCGTGCTTTTGTCTAGACTCGTAATCACATTAACAGATTCAGATTTGAATGTATACCAACTAAATTGTATATGTTGATTTTTTTAAAAAAGGGAAGAATGCTTGAAAGCTAGAACTTCAAGGAGCTCCTGTACATTTGTGCATCTGCTCTTGAAGATATTGGCATTGAAGCAGAAGCTGAATATTGAAAATATTGTTTTCAGATGTCGTTACATCTGTCTTGCAAAATGTGTGCCATCATATTATTTTAACTGATTTCTGTTTCCCTTTCTTTGCACAGAACGAAGGCGCTGGTCTTGGAACTGTTGGCAGCAGTTTGCCTTGTAAGAGGAGGACATGAAATCATTTTATCTGCCTTTGATAATTTTAAAGAGGTAGGTCCATCTATTTTATTAGGGAGTCACATGTGCCTAGGACAGCTTTGTTGGATAAGGTCGGCTGAGTTTGGTGGTGATCTTTATTGTGCATGTCTGAGAGTAACATAACTGTTCATGGATGCATTGGGATATCTATGGGGCAGATGCTTCAGCAGACACGCCATCCCACTTCTACTGTGGTAACCTAGATTCCTTTTGCAAAGAATCTGGTAACATCCAATTCAGACTGAATGTGGAAGAGGACTCCTGATTAAAGTCAGACTATTGTGCTTCATAATGCATAACATTTGTTCATAGCAGTCGCTTTATATTTAACCAGCCTTGCACATGACATTTTTCATGTACATGTCTGCTTACTCCTCTACATGCTTGCTCTCTTACCCCTTTTCCTCTCCACCCTTCCCTCATTTGCCTGACTTCCTTTACTCAGTAAAGATTTAGAAACATAGAAACAGAGTGAGTCAGAAGGGGTCTCCCAGGCCATCTAGTCTGACCCCTGGCTCCAGATTAACTTGTTCTTCTCCCACAATTCAAATTTTTATCCATTAGACCACAAATAGATATTTATTCTATGCAGAATGACCTAACTGGCAAGTTACATTAGTAACCATATCTTTTACTACTTTATTATTTAAGCCAGAGTGGGCAGCTTGTGGCCATCCAGGTCCTTTGGCTACAGATTCTATCACCTCAAAGCAGCACAGGTAGCAGGAGGGCCAGCAATCCCTTCAGACTTTCATCTTAACTTTGAACTTAAAGGCTCTGTGTGGTACAGTATTAGGATACCTACAGATCCAAGGATGCTTTTGCAGTCAGGGAAAACTATGCAATATGTAGCATGACTGAAAAACTAGTTTGGGAAAAAGAAGTGAATATCTTGACAATGCATGTGTGTGTATCCACACTGTATAATGTATTACAGAATAATAATGGAACACAGTTTCTGGCAGAGCAGAAATGCTTCTTCAGCTTTATCAATCTACACCAAAGAAATCCACATTTACTATTTGCTTTTGTTTATTTCATCCATTTTGCCCCACTCTTTAGTACGGCTTGAAAACAATCACAGTGTATCATATTATAATCTAAACAATTATATGAGCTTTATTCAGCTGCTGTAGAAACTGGTAAAACTTACCATGTGAGCTAGGATGGGGCTGCACTGAGTGCCCCCGTCTTTTGTGTCAGGACACAGCATAGCTCTGCTCAAAGTGATCCACACCTGCAGTGCAAACACCTGCAGTGGAGACGTCCTCATATCACAGTTGTATGTGCAGAGATATCCCCATGGATTGGAATCTTGCATGATCAGTGGTTTGAATAATGCCTGAATATGGTCTAAATATCTGCTTGACAAAGGCAGAATAGAAATGTTTTAAAGAAACAAATTAATACGAGATGGCAGAACAGTGGGTCGTATCCACTTCACACTTGCTGGTGAGGAGATGATGGGAGGAGAGGAGGTGAAAATTCTCTTGTATGTGTGGTCTGTTTGGGGGGTTTGCCAGTAAAGCCCACCATTAAAATCAGATCTGGGTTCGGTTTAAGACCATTTTCAAAAGTGGCTGAAAATGCCAGAAGCATACACAGAAGCCACACTTCACTCACATACAGCCTACTCAATTCAGGATCATCCCAAAGATCAGTTGGAATTTGGGGCCTAAAGAACTGCTCTATAACATCTCCTGTCAGAGCACCTGCTTAGGGTAAAGATTGAGGCAGCCCGTTTTGGGTGTAGAAATACTCTGTGTTGAGTAGGACGTCCCAACAGGTGGATAGTTTTATGTGTGAGGGAGGGGAAATGGGATGAAATGGGGGGGGAGGGGTGAGCATGTGTGAGGCTGTGGTTGCTTGAGGAGGTGTTGTGTGGGGATGAATCTTTTACATTGCCATTGTCCTGCCATGTTCATAGAGGATCCAGATGACGTCATATTCCATTTGCAGTTTTCATGTTTTCCACCAAGCGGGATGTCCCTGCAGCACCACTCTCCCACCAGTTCCTCAACAAGCACCCCGTGTCTTAATGGGGGAGGGCAAAGAAGGGTGCATGTGTAAGAGGGGGTTGTTGCTTCAGTTGTGCAAAAGGAAGAATGTATCCTTTACATGTTTTTTTCTGGGAATTTTCTTTTTCTGCTGTTCTTTAAATTCTGTTACAGAACCACAAGGTGGCACTGCAGGATAGTGCAATTATGAAAACATACCTGGCCATTTTGTAGTGCTTCTTAGCGTAACAGGAAATACTAGCTGACTTCTCAACTGTGAAGAAAGCTCTCAGAACAGAAATCCTGGAAAACAGGATAAAGGACCTGTAAACTTCTATGGGTGATGGATCACAGCTGTCTCATGTAGAGAAGCCCAGAGTGTGCCCTGGCCAGTTTTGCTTATTTGCAATAATAACACGTTGGGAGAATCAACAGTTATTAGTCTGAGTTGTTTCTAGTTTTAGTTCTTCCTGTAGTAAACTTACGGAAATCAATGGGTTTTAAGTTAAACCAATATTGGATATAACTCAGTGTTATCTATTCTAGACATAATAGATAGAAGGCAGCCTGGCTGTGGCATTCTTGGGGGTGGGGGGATGAGATTACAAAATATTGAACATTAACTACTGAGAAAATGGAATATTGAAAAATATACTTGGCTTCTCTACAGCTGATCGTAGAGTCTCTACAACTTCTCTACAACTGATTATGAACATCTTTGGATCTGTTGTAGTATAAATTGTTGACCCAGAGATACCTCTGTGTTGAAATAGAGTGTGTTGGTTATCCTCCCGAATAGCTAGCATTGCTCCCATTTATATACTAATATACTTCTCTCTCCCATTGCAGCCTTAATAAATTACATTCATTATTGTCCCAACACAGTTTGGCCACTGTCTGTCAAAGGAAGTTGCTCTTCACTCTATTAAAATGATGTATGAAGGTCTGTTCGCTTTTATTTATGAGCAGCTAAATGGAGCAGGAAGCCAGGCAGACATTTTGAGTCAGTTCCAGTAGTTTAATCTAGTTTAATCCGGCCTCTAAAGCATCTCTGGATAGAAGGATTACAAATATATTGCAGTTACCTTAGAGATCTATGTATATATACATATGTGTATACACCCCCCCCCCTGCACACCAAAGAAGTCTGCACTTCCTTAAAGCAGCAGCAGAATACAATTTGGCAGGGAAGGGTGGGGGAATCCTTATCTTTAATGATGGCTTTCTTTGTATATATCCCTGCTGAGTTTCATTTGATTTATAGGACATGAGTTGCAGTTCCCATTTCTCATGTAATACAATCGCCTAAAGAAGACTTTCCCAACTTGGTGATCTCCAGATGGGTTGACCTTCCAGTCCCAACAAGCCTCTGACAGTGATGCTGGCTGGAACATGTCTGGAGTAGCAGTTCAATATATCCGGAGGGCACCATATTGGAAAAGGCAGCCTTTCATTGGGCTTAATTCTTTTTTGCCCCTTCCAGGAGGCGTTGTTTTAGGATCTCATAAGCAAGCTCTCTTAAAATCTCTTATGCGCATGGACACAAGGGATCGGGTGCTGCTGTGCTGGTCCCACAAGCTGTACCTATTCATTCAATTTAGGGGCCTGAGTAGGAGGATGACTCACTCGGAGCTCCAGCCTGGAACCTCAACTGATCAGGCTTCCAAGCTGCATGGAAGCCTACATGTGTAGCACTGGTATTCAGATGCCCATGTTCCACAGGTGAACATCAGGAGCAGGAATTGCAGCACTGCCCCACTGCCTCTTCTGCATATAAAGCCCTCTTCTCATGCATAGAATATGTAGAGTGCTATGAGTAGAACTATAGATAGGTTAACATTCTTCCAAAATAGCACCAAATTTGAGTGACTCCCCTTGAACAATGAAAGGAAGCCCCCTCATTAAAAAGAAAACAGGCACACCCCACAGCTATAGTTTGGTTTCCAAAGAAGATGAGGAAGAAATAAGCTGTACAGTGTACTTTTTCAGGTAGTTCTGCAAAGTTTGCTCTGGATTCTTGGAGGGTAAATCAGGGATGCCTTGCAGTGGTATCATCCCATGAAAACCAGTGGAAAAATAAACTATTAAGTTTCACTGAATCTTTCCTGTTTCATAAACTTACGCTTTTTAAAAAAAACATTTATTTGTTCTGAATAATGTCTCACTTGGTGAAGAATGTGTGTTGTTGGCTATTGTGGATAATTCTGTTATCCATTTCCTCTAACTTCTGGCAATTTTATTCCTTTAAAGGAAATGGATTTTATGACATCTGGTGATCATCCCAATGGATAGTTGGATATTTTTTCTTTCCCACCTTCAACTTCTGTTAAATCCCTTTATAATTTATCAGACTATGAAAAAAAATCTGTTCTTTATTTTCTGTTTTAAAATGCTTCTGTTGGACACACTGTTCTAGGCTTCTCCTTTCAAGTGCTCCCAGGAGGGTGGTCTACAATTAATCTCTTTATCTTTCCCTTTCTTCAGGATTCAAATTACTGAGCTCTGGTGACTTACCAAAGATCCCATCCAAATCCATTTTATTTAACATTTACACCAAAGAAGTTTTGCTTTCATACAGTGAAGGTGTCCTAGTGTTGAAGGAAATAGTGGACAAGTTTTAATTGAATGAAACAAGATTACGTAAGAATGTTCCACTCTTGAAGCAGCCGACTGTTGAATGGCTTTGCAGACTTCAGCGTAATTAGTGCAATGCCATGCCAGACCTAGAGCAACTTCACCCAGCCAGATGCCCCTGCTGTCTGGACCTGTTTGGAGTTGTGGGGCACCATGTTGTGAAGGCTGATTTAAAAGTGTTAACTTGGTTTGGCTGAGCTTCACCCAATAGGAATTTATTTGAGGGAAAAAAGGCAGATTACTTTTACCTACTTGGTAACGTTGTAAAGTTAAGCTTATCTGTATCAATGTAAACCAGCTGGGACTGAAATGAGAAAAAAGTTTCTCAGCTGTCTCAAACAGAGGTAACCAGGTGCAAAATGTGTGTCTTGTGGGCGACTTTGAAAAGTGTCTGTGTAGAAATTTCTACTTTTCTCTTTTAAAATATCCCTACATGGACAAGAGAAGCAAGCAGTTTTCTTGTATATGAAAAGGCTTACAAATCTGAATGTTCTGCCTGCACTCTAGTTCAGACTGCAATACAATGTTGTAAATAACTACATGTGAATGTAGTCCAGATATTGCATATCAGTTTGACAGCCAGGAAATACAGTATTGGGACATTCAGCTGGACTTCTGAAACAGCTTGAGCATCTGTGGTTTTGCAAATGACCTCTGTTTATTTTTCATTCCCTTTCCCTCCAGTGGAGGAAGAATATACCATTTAATCTCAAACTCTTAAAGAGCTTAATAGAAATTCAAATTTATGCACTGTAAACCAAGAGGAGAATCTATGGCAAACAGGAATCCAGCTTTATTCTTATTTGTCATTGCAGCAATTTAATTTTATTAGGAACAGCAGGATATGTTGGAAAACAGGAGCCAATCATGTCTGCCTGGAGCAAAGTATGTAGCCTTATTTTCAAAAAAGAAAAGAAAACTGAAAGTATTTTCAGCCTAATAAACATTAAACAACTCTTTATATAACCAGAATCTTGCAAGAAAATTGGTCTGTTGTTCCCTCAGTGATCTCATGTAATGACAATTTGTAAGAAACACCTTCCTGAAATAGTAATATCCTTGAGTGAAATCACACTAGACCATTATAATAAGAAGAAATAATTGCAGTCTCAGTATTGTGGAATAAAGAATTTAAAAAAAAAAAATTGTTTGGAGAATGTCACTTTAATGTTGAAATGTTGTCATTTCAAGTGTTTTCAACACTTTAATATTGAAGAATTAGGTCATGTTTGTCTTCTGCTTCCTGTCTCTTCTCCCCAGACTGAATTTTCTGTTCAGTGAATTCTGCATCTTATTCTTGCATCATCACTGACCATTCTAAGTTCAGAGAAGTCTCAGGGCTGGCTTCTCAGTTCCTGTTGCTGCTCAAATGGTCTCCATGTGTGGTACATTTAGCTGCATGTGTGGATCAGCTCTTGCAGAACAGCTTGCCATAGTTTTAGGCCCAGGGGAATCTAGAGCTAGAAACTGACCCACAGACTTTCTGAAGTTTCCCACTCCTGCTGTACAACTATATACCCTTAACAGGAAATCCCAGTGGGATGTACTTTTTGAATATACATAGACAGACTAGGAAGTCCTCAATTAAAGTATAAAGTATATATAGCAACTTTGGGGCATGCCAAGATATTAAACTTGAAAGTACTTACTAATCTGAGATATGATAGGCAGAACTGAGTTACTGTTATTTGATTTAAATTATCAGTGGTTCTTGTGAGCTTGTACTTTACTGTGGTTGATGACTGAATCAGCAAACCATTAGTAATTTGCAATTATGACAGACACTGTTCATGATTCACTTGGATGAGAAGGTCACCTGCTGAAGCTTGCTTCCATTTTAATTATATGGTGCAACCAGCCCTTCCAGTGCAAATGTCTTTCTTAAAGATCTTTGAAAAATTCTTCACGTAATCATCCCTTTGCTTTAAAGTTATGGTATACAAACTTAGCAACCACAACAGTTGCTTCTCAAATGCTTCATTTCCTCACATCCAGAGAGGTTTCCTCTCAGATATATACAGTCCATCTGCACTGAGCTTTACTACTTCCCCTCTTAGTTTTGGCAGCTGCATAGTGGGCCATGTCTCTTGTAGAAAGAAAGAAAATCCAGTGGAACAGTTCTCCTCATTTGCAGTTGCCTGTTCAGGAAATACACTTGGTTTAATGACATTTTGCGTTGAATTAGGGATTATTTTCCAACAGCTCTCTCTTTTAATGGATTGAATATTTTGTTCGTGACATATTTATATGGGCAAGTTATCATTTGCATTTAATAAACACCCTAAACAAATTTACTTGGTAGCAGATTGCATTGTTTTAGAAAGCTCAAGCACCAGAAAATGTGTGCTTAGGGTCATGTCATGAGCATAGTAAAAATTGAAGTTAATTGAGCAAATGATAGTCGGAGATCTCATAGGGAGAATGCTTTTTAGTGGGCTATGGTACAGTGTATTCCCAAACTAGGTTTGATGTGCTAAACTATTGTATATTCCAATTATTTTTCAAATTGGCAATTTACTTGGAACTAAGAGCTGGAAACTAAAGGAGAGCTCCAGCTAATTTCAACTCCTTATTTGAAATTGGATTTGTTGAAAAATTAACAAGTTTCTCCAACTTTTCTTGATATGGTCCAGAAACACAAGTAATGTAATGATGTACCATATTTTTCCATCTATAAGACCCCCCCATGTATAGGATGCCCCCCACTTTTCCTACCTATCTCCAGCGAACAAGGTGCTGCTGCATGTGCATATGCCCCGCTTTGCCGTCCCCCCGCTTTGCCGTCCCCCTGTGGCGCCTCGCCACCACCCTGTCTGCTCGCATCCCCTCGCTGTCCCCCGCGTGGCTCTTCGTCCCCCTGCCCAGCACCCCCCACTTGCTGCTCCCCTGCCCATGCTCAACATCCCCCCTGCCCGGGTATAAGACACACCTTCATTTTTAAGTTAATGTTTTTAAGAAAAAGTACCGTCTTATACACAGAAAAATACGGTCGTAATTCTTCTTCATTGCTACTTTTGAATTCTGTTGCTATCTCACCCAGGTCAACTATCAAGCATCATAACTGAGCTAGAGTTTGAACCCAGGTTTCCCCTGTTCAGTCCCAGCATACTTCACTGGCATAGTCTTGTCATGGTGACTCTGGTGTAATGAACTCCTAGTCTTCCTCCTATTTTGAAGTTACAGGAAATACTGGAAGTTGTCCTAGTGAGGTGTCCTGCTCCCAAATTGGGTGGAAGGGTGAGGTTACTTGTTGGTTGCCTGAGCACCCTGCAAGGCCAAAATGGCAACCCACTTTGGAGTAGGAAAGACTTGGAGTCCTTCATGCAATAGTGCTGGAATGGGCATGATCCTTTCCCTGAGGATCCTTCCTGTAGAAAAAGCCAGCAGGAAGGGGAAGGGACAACTGACTGCTCCTTCCTAAAGGGGTGCTGAAGGTTCATTCAAGTGATAGCAAACAAGCTCACCTGGAAGCATAGCAGGGGCAGTGGGGGTGCTTCTGAAAGGAACTGGTGGCATTCGTTTTTGGTGTGGCCAGCAAGACCAGCCAAACATTGCAGTTCCCTGTGCTTTCTCTCTTGTTCATCTGGCCTTTTACAGCAAGAACAATATAATCCATCAGCTAGCTAGCATAGAAGCATTCTTAGAAGAGTGTAAATATGTGGCTCCAGAATTCAGGCATAAATGTATTACCACGAACCTATACTTAAGCACACCTGTAATTAAAGCTTCGCCCACTCTGGAGTCATTGGGATCTCAGTTTTGGGTTAAGTAGCAGCAAAAGAAATTTTTGTTCAGAAAAGTTTGCCTCAGGACACAACTGAGGAATTTATGAATAGTTAGCCTTTGATCCCATGCGCTGTGTAGAGTTTGCTTTAGGGACAGAACGTTGCAAACGTTTCATAGGAATCCATTGTAGGCTAGACTGGGTGAAAGATAAAAGCCACATTGTGCTTGTTATTTTATGGAAGTCATGGGATGAACTGGAATAAACCAGCATTAGTAGAACTGTTATAAGGCCCAGAGGCCCCATTCACGTGTAATGCTGAGCAATATGAGAGATGATTGGACTCACTCTTACTTGATTTTCCCCTTCTGTATGCCTTGTTTCTCCAGCCACTCTCCCAGTATGCTTTGCTACAGATACTGTATCCTCTTCCCCACTTTGATCACTGTCCCTTTCATTGCTGTTTTTTCTCCCATTTTGAGACATAAAATATGCGATTAGGGTTGGCCTGTTTTCATTCCTAGAAAATGGTGCGACTGTATTCATTTTTTTGAAGTCAGTCTTTCTCATGCGCATGAATGCAAAATTGACAAGGTGAAACTACACATAGACTAATTTGTGCACAGTGGTAACGATCCAATTTCTTAGTGGATAGTTGAAAAGCACTGAGAAAGGGAGGGAAGCTGCAAAAGCAGGGGGCCAGGACAAGGAGGAAAGATGGATTCCCACATGAAGATGCCTGGGATATGATCACAACCACCCTGTTAATTCAGTTCAGGCTAATACACATTGAGTGGCTTAGCCAGAGGAGTGAGCTTCCATACCATAGGTTTGCCACCTGCTCATTAGCAGAAACCACAGCTTGCTGTTGGTTTGTCTGTCCTAAGCAGTGCTATGATTCTTAGTTCTGAATGATGTAACAAAGCAAAGTTCATTGAAAATGAAATGTGAAGCTTCCAAGACCTCTGGCCGTGCTGGAGGAGGAACAGAGCAGGGGGCATGCGAGCTCGAAGCTTGCCTGTGCTCATTCATGCACCGCTAAATGGTTAGCATGTGTGAAGCTGCTCCTCATTCCAACTAATTCTGCGCATTTCCAGCTCAAAGCTTTTCAGTGATGTTTTTTGTACTCCCTCTAGTGTACAGATGCATAATAAAACATTCTGCATTTTTTCCCAGGTTTGTGGTGAAAAACAGCGGTTTGAGAAGTTGATGGAACATTTTCGAAATGAAGATAACAATATCGATTTCATGGTAACTGTAATGAACTTAAGATACCATACTCTCTATCATGGTGTACTTGCCATCTTTTTTTTCCCCACTCATGACTTTGGATTATTTTTATTACTTTATTTTAAGGATATAGTTCACTTATAAGTAGGTAACTTCTCCTTCCATTGCTGCACCGCATCTCATGCCCTTCATGGGGGACTGTCAGGTCTTGGGACTAGCACTTTTGGGGAAAGACTTTTGGGGTGAGAAAGTCCCATCCCACGAGGAGTTCTTCAAATCCAAATCTGTGGTTCCAGCTAATAAGACTGACTCTCATTTCAGGGCTTTGAACAAATGTGCCCAAAAGGAAAATCTTACAAAAAAGTCCATTTGAGAACTGTAGAAGGCTACAAAAACTAGGGGTTACTCCACTGTGCCTGGTAGCATCAAGGGACATGTGCTATGGGCGAAATGTGGCACATTGCTAAACATTTGTCTCTTTAGACTTACCATTCGAAAGTTGTTAATCTTCTATAGCTACTATGTTAATGGTATTTAGTGCTGTACTAGATTACAAAATCTAGTATATTTCTCGGCCAATGCAAAACCTAATCCAGTTAATACATACACAAACAAGACACATTGGGAGCAATTTATGACTCCCATGCTTACAATTTCTTAGTTTCCTTCATGCTTAGAGAAAGTAGGTTTTGTACCAATTTATGTGGCACTTTTAGGATGACTAGTTGAGTTCAGATTCCCCTATTCTTCATTCTCTCAAGAGCTCCCCTACTGACCTGAACACAGTAGCTGTTGAGCAGAAAATGCAAACAGAAGCAGTAATAGCTTCATAAGCAGTCAAAGAATTTGCCACAACTGATAGCCATTTTTGAAAGCAACTAATTTGGAAAAAACCCTAAAATATTAGTGAGATTTCTCCAGAATAGGTCTAGGAATGTTTATTTTAAAGCAAAAGAAAGTGTTAGTTCAGGGAAGGCAGAATAAGTATCTGGAGTCTATAGCTCCTTGTGTGTGCTTCATGAATTGGAGCATCTGTGGGGAAGTGACATCACAGCTGTTCCTCTTCCTGCTCTGTAGATAAAATTAGCACTTCCATTTTTAACAGGTTCCAGTTCATTTGTACTTAATTGTTGCCTGATTCCACATTCCTTTTACTGAGAGAGGAAAATATACAAAAAACAATTACACAAAAATTTTGTTCTGGTATGGAAAGGGAGTCCATCTATTTGTGTAACAGGACAGCTTTAACTATCAAACTCACCCATTAAATTTCTATTCTATAAGCGCTAGGTGTTAGTATTATGGATGGGTTTAGAGCAGTCTTCCAGCTAGGAGTGTTAGACTACATATCCCATAATTATGGGGCTTATGAGTGTTGTAGTTCAGTGACTCTGGAGGCACCGGCTGGGGAAAGCTGGATTAGTGTATGGCTGCAGCACTTCCTCCTCCTCATCACTGTGGGATGGGGAAGCCAAGGGAGCAAGATACATTGGAACATAAGAAGCTGTCTCGTACTGAGTCAGGCCATGGGTTTATCTTTCCTGTACTATCTACTCTGACTGGCAGCAGCTGTCTACAGTTTCAGGCACCAGTTTTTCCATCCCTCCTGGAAATGCCAGGGACTGAACTTGGAATCTTCTGCATGCAGCGCAGATGTCTCACCACTAAGCCATGGCTCCTGCCTCTTAGCATCCTCTTCCATTTTCTGTACTGACTATGGGTAAGGGAGTAAAGTTTACTCCCTTCTGCAAGATTCCAGAGCAGAAAGTGAGGCATACCAATGCAGGCATTCCCTCTTAGAAGAGTGAGCTGAAAATCAGCTGGCATGCAAATTAAGAAGAAGTACTAGGGTTCATACATTGTCCATCATCCAATTCCACAAGAACCAGCCAGGTGCTTCTGGAAAGTCTACATCCAAGACATGAAGGCACTGTCTCCTGCCTTTCCTGCCCCCGTTTCTATATTTTCCCAAAAATGGTCATTTGGCAGCATGCTGCTTCTGGAAATGGAGGTTCCATTTGGTTATCATAGACATAAGCCACTGAGCCATTTTTATTTATTTATTTATATCCTGCCTTTTTCCTACAAAGGGCTTAAGGCAGCTTATATGTCCTCCTCCATCTTATCCCCACAACAACAACCCTGTGAGGTAGGTTGGGCTGAGAATCTGTGACTGGCCCAAAGTCACCCAGTTGGCTCCATGGCTGAGCGGGGACTAGAACCCTGATCGTCTGAGTCCCAGTCCCATGCTCTTAACCACTACACCACACTGGCTCTTGTGTTTCCTGTGAATTTGTCTAAAACTAGTGGCCATCACTAGCTTGTTGACTGAAAATTTCAGAAGTCACTTATGGGTTGTGTGAAGAACTTTTGCCTCCCTTGAATCTACAGCTAATTCTTTTGGGAAAGCTCAGGTTCTAGAACTGAAGTGCCCAGAGGCACAGAATGTCATTTACTTTACTAACTTTGTTTTCTGCATGTATAAAACACTGTCTATGCCACTCCCTCTTGTTTTATCAGCCTTGTAGGATTTTCAGTGCCCAAGATTGGTGTTATTGCAGTAGTATCCATATTCTACAGTTAAATCTCTGTACGGTTCTGTTTGTATAATTGTTTCGGATAGTCCTTATATCCTACTCCTATGGCACAACATATAATTAGAAAAACCCTTTAGTATGTCGCCTGAACCAGGAATCCTGGCTTGTTGCTTCCAAACGATCGAAGACTTGTAAACCAACAACAAACCCCAATTTGCATCCAAATCTGGTTTTTGAAACAACAAAAGTGGTCGAGGCACTAAATAAACAATTGCTTACTTGTTTAGCCATGCACACTAGCAGCAGAATCCAAAACAAAAAAGTCTCCTCCTCTTCCCATATACATGTAGCAGTAGGCAGGCAAACACAACTGGTTCAGGCAAAGACAGTATATTATGAGGTAAAGTTGAGTTGCTCTAGCCATTTACTAGTCTAGCGGAACTCTCTTGCTACATCTTTTGCCAGGACTTTTTGGAAGACAGAGGTTAATGAGAATTAAACACTTAAATTAGACGTAGCTGTACCCTCATTCCAGGTGACTGAGGCAGGCTGGAGACTAAATTCCAGCATCCCTTGAAGTTGTACCAAGTGCCAACCTTTTGCAAAATTACAGATTTTTTTTTTTAAACAAGCCCTGCTCTTTAAAGGCCACTGATATCCGCTTCTACAGTGCATCTGGGAAGTGAGGATGTCTCATTACTTCAAATATCTATCTTTGGATTGTTTCTATCTCCCTCCCCTTTTCTCCAATGATTAGAAATAGAATAATTATGCAGAAGCAGCAACTGAGAATTAATGGCACATGGTTTGACAAATGACATACTTAGACTGCCATCTGGTTTCAACTAGATCTTCATGAGTATAGAAACAGCTTGTGACACGTACTTTCAGGAGGTTGGGAATGGAACTGGCTTGGTCAGAGAAGGCCCAAATCTATGGAGGCTTTGCTTGAGGGATTCCTGAGCCTCCTTGCATTCTTGAATCATTTTTGGCTTCTGACGTTTGCCAATAGTTCATTAGCAGAACAGACAATGTATTTGTTTGGAAATGAGAGAAAAGGTCAGCAAGGAAGGCTCCATGGTGCTCTCTCAGGGCTGCTAGTGCTAGCTGTGAAAAGGTCCGGCACAGCTTTTCATTTTTTTCCTTCTGTAACAGGTATGTTTCTGGCCAGGAAAGCAGTGGGAAAACACAGGAGAATTACAAAGGGAAGATAATGTTGTCTGCCCCCACCCCTCATAAAGTTCCATGCCATGACCCAGGAAAAGTTTAGTCACAAAGCACCCTGAAACTTGAGCAGTGCCATGGGATAGCCGTAGAACAATAGTACTAAGTATGTAGTAGCATATTTTCCCAAAAATAGCATATTTTCCTGATATACAGAAGATTTTGCAGACAGAATGTTGTTGCGCTGGCGAGCTAAGTGCTATTTAAAATAATCCAGATATTTTGCTTCAGTAAACCATACAGCTCCAGCTCCTTGAATATATGCATGAGTGGCATGAAAGTGATGATTTATCCTCATGAGAGCAACTATTTATGCTGTCCAAATCATTTTTCTTTCTACACTGGTTTGTATCAGCCAGGTTTCAAATTTGTAGCCAGGACTTCTAGGCTAAACAGAAAGTTTAAAGGTCTGTCGTAAGAAAGAAAGCGGACTGACCCACCACCTCTGGATCAGGTAGCCTTCTTATCCGCCACAGCCATATGATTACATTTGCTGTCGGTTCTTTCCCCTTCCTGATTCTCAGCCTTAAGCCTGAGATTTAGGTAGGATCATGTCCATACCCATGTCTCTCCTAATTCATTCCTGTGCATGATAAAGGGCAGATCGTTGTTGCTTCTCAGGTTACATTTTCGGGTGCTTCTTGTTTTTCAGGTGGCATGTATGCAGTTCATCAACATAGTGGTTCACTCAGTAGAAGACATGAATTTCAGAGTTCACCTCCAGTACGAATTTACAAAGCTAGGCCTGGATGAATATCTTGATGTGAGTACAGCTTGTTTTGACTCACCGTTGCTTCCCAAGCATGGGCTCAGTTGTGACATTTGAGTTTCATATTTGGATGGGATTATGCAGTGAATCAGTTGTCACCTTCAGTGCTAGCAAGAGCTCTTCTTCTTTCCTGAATTGGGAGGGGGGGTTGTTTTACTTTGTTACTTAGTTTTTTAAACAGTTGCCAAATACTGTCTGTAATTAAACAAAAGCATATTTTTAAATGAGCCAAAAATGAATGTGGTCAGATCATTATGCAGTCTTCACCCCATATGAGTATTGCATAGGAGGAATTGAGTTTCTAACTTTCAACTCTCCTCTCTCAAGGGCCTTTTCTGCATGTGGGATTATACCTTTTAATTCAGTAGGTGCCCCTCGTGTCAACATTTCTTTTGCAATGTGACATCTTAAAGGGAATCCTTAATGCTGACTAAGCTGTGTAGCTTCTCTAGTCCCACAAATCAGCCATTCCTTTACTGCCTGAGCCACGTCTTCTTCAGAATGGACATAGCCTTCCTGCAGCCTTTCACCATGTACAAACATGTGACTTCATTCCTTGTTCATCATTTGGTGGACTTTGATTGCTGCAGTCCCTTGCTGCAAGTGGGTCACAAATTTGGAGGAAGGCTACTCCTCATATTCTGCTTTTTATATATAGTGGCCATCCAGTTACTGCACCAAGAGAAGTCAATGAAACCATATACTGTGCATACTTCTGCTGTGATGGTCTTTGCTTCAACAAAATGCTGATGCCGTGTTTGCCTCTGCTACCCTGGGCTTGCTGCTGAGGCAGCTGGATCTGTTTCAAGAGTTCTGGCAGCTGCTTCTCTTTCCTCCCACCCCCATCATTTCTGCTGATCCTTTTGAGCAAGGAGTGAGTGCCACGCTGCTCGGACTACAGCTGTGTAGGCTTCGAGGATTTTATTCATTCTGTATTCCTGTGGTTGTCACAGGAATCATAATATGCGCCTGCCTTCTTGGCAGCAGAAATTTAACCACAACTGTAAAGAGAATGAACGAATGATGACATGGGTGTAAATGAGAAACTGCAGTCAAGAGGAAGAAGTAACTTCAGATGCTCACTTGACATCTTCCAAACCAATGTTGCTAGAACATTCCTAAGTTTTTATTCAGAATGTTGTTCTCCATTCCTTTTCCTGCCTGGCTGGTCCATTTAGCTCAATATGTATACATTAGGACGAGTAACCCTGGCCCACCAGATGTTGCTAGGCTACAACTCCCGATAACCCGGTTTTGCATGCTGCCTGGGACTGATGCATGCTGGTGTCTCACAAAATCTGGAGGAACACAAAGTTCTCTTTCCCTGGTCTATATTGACTTGATGTGGCTTTCCAGGATTTCACATCTTCCTTATTAGTACTAAGGGTTGAACATGTATCTCATTCATGGAGAACATGGGTTCTGCCTATCAGCTGTAGCCCTTCCTTAAAGATGTGATAGCCAAGAGATGGAGGTGCTTGGTTCCATTCCTACTGAGAATATGGATTGGAATCCTGCATTACCCATTGAAATGTTGATGGCGAGGTGTGATGAATTCAAAATAGGATGTCTGAATTCTTTATCAAAATGACTGGTTTTGTGTTAATCACAGCAAACCTGCCTAAGGGAAGTGGAGCCATGACCTACAAAAGTGTAAATCATTTGAACAGTCTGTTTGTCATGTGCAACACATAATCCAGGCTTTGCGCAAATGTCCAGCCATGTACAGAGTAGTTGGATGATTTTTAAATGAAAATATGGTGGTGATTTTGGTTTTTTTTCCCTTCTGTCCTTCTTGCCTGGAAAACAGCCCTGAGAGCTTCTTAGAAATTTGGCATTCAGGCTAAAGCAGATCACAGAATCATACAGAACAGTAGAGTTGGAAGGGGCCAGAGGGCCATTGGGTCCAGTCCCATGCTCACTGCAGGACTCCAAGTTAAACCATCCCTCTCAGATGGTTGCCCAGTTGCATTTGGAATGTCTCTCAAATGGAAGGGACAACCTTCTTAGCTAATTGGTTCCATTGTTGTACTGCTCTAACAATCAGGAAGATATTCCTAATAGTTAGCTGGAATCTGACTTCCTGGAACTTGAGGCTATTAATCCATGTCCTATACACTCTGGGATGATCGAGAAGAGACCTGTCCTTCCTCTTTGTGACAGTCTTTCAGGTACTTGTAGAGTGCTATCGTATCTCTTTTGGTCTTTTCTTCCTGAGGCCAAAAATGGCCAGTTCTTATATCTCTCTTCACAGGGCTTTATTTCCAGTCCCTGGATCATCCTTGCTGCCCTCCTCTGAACCCTTTCCAGCTTGTCTGCCTCTTAAACTGGTATCTAGAACTGGACACAGTACTCCATATGAGGCCTAACCATTGCTGAGTAAAGGGAATGAGTACTTCATAGGATTTGGAAGTGATGTTTCTATTAATGCAGCCTAAAATAGTTATTTGCCCTTTTTTGCAGCAACTTCACATTGATGACTCATATTAAACTTGTGTTCTACAACAACTCCAAGATCCCACTCTTTGGTAGTACCAAGTATTTCCTATCTTGTAATGAAGCATTCTGTTGTTTTCAGGCCAGCACCAGATTTTGGTGAATGAGACTGGAATCTTAGTTACTTTTGAGAGCTTTAGTTACTCTTGATCAGTTATATTCCTTTGGCTTACACGAGGTTTCTTATAATGAGTTTTGAGAACCCTTGTGTTGCAGTGTTCCCAATAGCAGAAGAATGCTTTGCTTGTTGAACTGAACTTCCTGAGGCCAGTGCTTGGGGGCAGATTGTCTTGAATGCAATCTGTCTTGAGTTGGATGCAAATAACTCGAAAGAGTTAATCATTGTTTGTTTTTTTATAACATAAACAATAGTCTTGCTGCAGGACTGTAGCTTCAGGAGGAATGTATTGTATAGAACATAAATATTCATGACAGAATGTATGAGAAGTGCCTCTGAATATATTCTGCAATGGGACATGGCCAAAAACCATAAAGAGTAGTTGAACTCCCAACAAAAATTCTGTTTTCCTGTTAAACCTTTCCAATAATAAATTTAAAGCATGAAGCTGGAGAAGTAGGGCAGAAAAGCTTACATGTATTAGTGCCAGCAAATTCCTGACAGGTGTGCAAGAAATATTTTCATTCTTAGTAGTAGGGGAAGAAGATGGGTGCTTTTCAGAATCAACCTACAGATGTTTAGGATTAAAACTTCAAACATTTCTGACCATTAACTGAGGATGATGGGAGTTAAAACTCCAAACAGTTTGCAGGGCATTAGCTTAGGGAGAAGTGGTCTTAGCAGTAAGTGGTCTTAGCAGTTTTCTTTGGACTCCTGTCTCATGCTCTAGGGTCACATTTCTTTCCTCTGACCAGAGAATCCAGGAATCACCTCCTCTGAGATGTACAATGGTAGAGCATGTAGAGCAATGGTAGAATCCAGTGCTCTTTTTTGTATTTGTATATGTATCTTTCAGGGCCATGGGAACACTCATCTCAATTTAATATATGTAACCATAGCACAATTTTTAAAGTATATTAGCAGCAATGGTGGCAACCCTGACTTCATTGGTGCCAAAGTCATTCATGTTCCTTTCTGTCCCTCTCTTTGGTCTTTCAGAAGCTGAAACATACAGAAAGTGATAAGCTCCAGGTGCAGATTCAAGCGTATCTTGATAATGTGTTCGATGTGGGAGCTTTACTTGAAGATGCTGAGACAAAGAATGCTGCCTTGGAAAGAGTGGAAGAACTGGAAGAAAATATATCTCATGTTAGTATCACACTGACGCTTTCAAATTGAGAGAGAGGATATTCTGAAGCTTGAGTTGGATTAAGGAAGGTGCTAGTTCTGTCAAAGGGAAGGCTTTATATGGACCACCTGCTCAGGATGTTAAGCAGCAGCTGTGAACTGTTGCTGCTAGTAGGCTTGGGACAATCCCCTTTGAAACTGTCCCTGTAGCATCTGTGGGCTTGCTCTTGTGCTTGGCCTGGTCCTGCAAAGCAAGCCAAGCCAAGAGGAAATCTGTGAATGCTTGCAGACCCCCAACTGGCAACCTTCTCCATCAGGTGCAGCCACCCGAAGAGCAGCTGCAGGATGTGGAAAGGAGCACTGTGGTCAGTTGCACCAGGTGCCATTTCTGGCAACCCACCTTTCTCACCATCTTGCATAGCTGGTGATGATGGCAGTGGGCATGTAAGATGGATGTAACCTGTGCAGTGCATGAGGCTCGGTTCCTGGCAAGTGCCTGTGATAGGCTCACCAGGCACTTGGACTCGGGGCCACCTGCAGAGTGGACCAGAGCCCAGGAAGCCATGCCCAGGGAATCTGATGGAGTCCCACTCGTAAATGGATCCCTTACATTTCTGTAGCTACTAGCACAGCATTTACTGCTAACAAGAAACAGTAGGCCCTCCGGTGTAGAAGAAGAACTGTGTTACCCAGATAATGGATTTGCACTTCATTGAATGGGCTGGTGCACATGACTGAGCCGTCCAGGAATGGCTGCTTACTAGGTGGGCTGCAGCATGTGCATACAGCCATTTTGAATATTTAAGACCTGGCTGCAGTTTGTCTGATGGTGCAAATCTGAGAGCTAAGCAACCCTCGCATAAGCATGGTCTTTTGTTGGGGTATGATGCACAGTGCCAAGGTTCACACAGCATGACCAGCTATTAGAGCGACACCAACGCACACCACAGCCCACCATGGCTTGAAACAACCCAATATGAGCTTTTTGATCATGCCAACTGGGTTCATCTGTAGTATCCAGCTAGTCTCCCTGCCAATGAAATGTATCCATCAGCAGAATAGGACAGCTTTGCTGCTATCCCCTTGCTCCTGCTAACCTTGTGGCTCCTAATTTCCTATACAGTGTTTGGGGAACGCTCAGTATGTTGTTCAGCTCCCAGAATTTGGTTTTGTTCAAAACACATGCTTTTATCTGAGCAGGAACAGCATAATTGAACTGCCTGCAAAACACCTTTAAATAGCTGTTCTAATATTACTGAGAACAAGGGCAAATGCCTGTTTAAAACACAACCAGTTTAAGTGATTCTGTTATACATTTACTCACTGCAAAAATTAAACTGGGACTGAAACCTCTTGTTCTGATTGTTCTTTTCCCAAACCAGCGCATAGCTGGAAAAAATTATCTGCAGGCAGCAGCATACAGATGCGGGAACATGCTTGCTGTTGCCCTTGGGCCTTGTTTGAGGCTGCTGGCAGAAACTGAAGCTGGACTGGTGGACCTTTGCTCTGATTCACCAGAGCTCACCTTATGTTCTTACTGCCTACTAAGCAGCTCGTGAAGCTTGCTGCAGAGGCTGGTTGAGTTTTTGCTGTCACAAAATCTGATTACTATTTCACCATCTCAGTAATTTTTTCCATTAATTATTAAGTAATATAACCAGTTTCAAAATTAGAATGCAGTTTTTAAAAGCTATATGGTTATTGATTCCATACAAATGATTAAACAGCTTAGGTAAGTCATATGGTTAGAAAATACTTTCTCATCGGGTCCATGTTTAACGTTCAGATTGGTTTAGAATTGTGAGTCATGTCTTTTCAAGGCATAGTCTCTGCAAGTGCCTTTGGGCAGCTTCATCCAGGGCTGATCTAGAGCCATGGATCTGACCATTCCTTTTTATATATGTAGAAAGAAACTAGCCATATTCATCTCCCATGTGGGTGGTCCTCTTGTACTTTGATCAGGGTATTGATTCAAATAGCTCGGGAGAATGTAATTCCCAATTCCAGATGGAGCCACTTGGGAGAATAGTTTCACCAAGGACTCTGTTCTATTTGTGGTGGTGCTGGGGAATTAATTTGCATATAAATTGCATATTCCATACACACACACACACACACACAAATTCAGCAGATCAATCTTTCATACCATGAAAGTACACACAGAAATCTCTGTTGCTCTCAAGATATACAGTGTTTTCAAAGCAGAGCCAGAGTGGAGCACCGTGATTGGTGCATTTTAAAAAAATTATCAGCATTAAGAATCTTTCTGGAATCTTTCTGGAATTTCATTTTCCAGAAATAAAGGCTCAAGGGTGTTGTGCATGACTCTTTCAGAGGAACATAGTCACCTGTGCAGTATTTATATTTCACTTTTCTGTCCTGTAAAATGATCTCAGTTAATCTTATCAATTATGGAGTGAGACTGGCTGCAGATTTTATTATTACATAAGCCTGATTTACATACTCAGATCCTGAATTAATAATCCATAACATGCATGTTTCATGTATGTTCCTGTAGTCTCTTTGCTGCTGCTGCTGCTTTGGCTCTTGTATGAGCAACAAAGCAAACCTAAAAGCCATGGTTAAGCCTAGTTTCCAGTTGTATGCAGACTATAGAAAATGATAGTTTATAGTTTAAAACTATAGGTAATGGCTGAGAGCAGAAGGCTACTGTAAACCCTTTCTTCATATCCTAGCTTGTTTGGAAGGCATTAACTATAATTTCTTGATTCTGACATAATGGAAGTTTAACTGCAGTTAAAATTCTTGAGATGTTGGGGAAGGAGGTTGTGAGGTTGTCACTGAGGTTGTCTGGGGCCTGCATTATTTTTACTTATTTTATCTGTTGACAAATGCTTGGCTCAGCCGAACACCAGCTGCCAAGACTTTGGAAATGGGGCCACAAATGCTTCTGGAGTGGCCATCGCTTTTCAGTACCGTGCCATGGTAACTATTATGCAGCTCCATTTCCAAAGTGGATACATGCAAAAGTTTGTTGTCCCCCTCAATTTCAGGAGTACCTTGGACCCTCAGAAAGAACTTGAAGTCCCATGGCATTCACCTGGGTGAAATGTTGGGTTCACCCCTATTTTTAATGTCCACTTCAAGGCAGATACAGGCAAGACCAAATAATTCCTGAATATAGTGCCATCACTGAAAAGCCCCTGTCTCTGTCATCCAACAAACTTAATAGTGTGGCCAATGTGCAGCCCTACTGTCCCTCCTACTGCTACTCCAAATTAAAAGCAAGAATTTTAAATTGGAAAAATATGATTTGCAGTGGCTACAAAGCACCTGAGGTTACATTTCACTTGTTTGTAAACTATTCACCCAAATTCGGTACCAAACTATCAAGCTTCCTCCATAAAATAAAAAAGATTATGTATGGTTATTAAATTTGGCAAAGGACCTGGTCTTTTAGATATTTCCAACATAAATATATTAACAAAGTATTATGTTAATATAAAGCTTCACTATTGCATCTACTATTTTTGTTATGCTTATGTACAGTTATTTTAGGCCACCATTAAATGTAGAACCCTTCTTCCTAGCAAGCCTATTTGCCTAGTAGATGTATCTCAGCCGCAATCCTGACCACATTCTAGAACAGGGGTCTCAAACTCAACTTACCTGGGGGCAGTCTGGGTGAGGCTGGGCCGCATCAAGTATTCCACCACCGCGGCGGTGGTGGGCCGCTCATCCCGTGTCGCTCCCGGAGGCCGGCCCGGGCGCCGCCTGCGCTTTGAAGGCCACAGGGCCCCTCCCCTGTGCCCCTCCCCTCCCAGCAAGTGGCCCGCGGGCCGCGAGTTTGAGGCCCCTGTTCTAGAAGCAGCAGGCAGTGACAGGGTGGTGGTGGTGTTAAATCTTACCATCTTCTTTGCTCCACCACCAAGTAGTTGCTCTCCTCTGACCTCTTTCCGGCTTGTCTGCCTCTTTCTTAAACTCTTCACTGATATATGCAACTAATCTAATTATTTTTCAAGAAACACGGGATTTGTACTTGGTGCCTTGGAGTGGCTCATGCACCAGCTCTTTATTCTCCATTTCATGGGTTGGGGGCACCGTTACATAGAATATCTTTCATTAAGAAATTATCTCTCCCCTGCTGTCAGACTTGGTTCTATTGCCTTCACGCCCAGTGAAAACAGATAATCAACTCTCCAGAATTTCATGTATATTTACATCTTTTGGGACTTTTATTAATGTGTGTAATCTCTCATCAACTAATCCCCTTTCTTGGCATGTCCAGTTATCAGAAAAACTTCAAGATACAGAAAATGAGGCTATGGCAAAGATTGTGGAATTGGAAAAGCAGCTCATGCAGAGAAACAAAGAACTGGATGTTGTCCGAGTAAGTGTCCCAAGGGCAGATGGTGTATGTTATTCACAAGTATGTCAACTTCCAAAAAGTGCAATCTGTTAGATTTAATTTAGCATGCATTGTTGACTATAGTTCAACTTTATATTCAAGAATGCAGAGGTTGTGTATGTTTGAAGTGTGCATTCACAATCCGTACAGGAAACGGATTGAAAAACTGCTTTATTTCTTTCTGCAAGCAATTCTACATAGCATTTTGAAACAGGTAATATATGCAGGACACAAGTACGTAAATAGCCTTATTTGAGTGTTCAGGATCCTCATGGAATCAACAAACAAGATGAAGGAACTCTTAACAGACAATCAGGGTTCCTCGTCATGTAGTGTCCCTTCACTGATAGAGGGAGGGCATTTTTCTTCCGTCACCCTCCAAGAGTTCAGGGAGATGGAAAGGCTTTGAGGAGGGGAGTGGACTAGAGTGTTGGTTCTGCAGAGATTCTGAATACCCAAATAGTGTATCATTTTCTTCTTTTCAGCTGTAATTCAAAGGCCGTACATAGATTTCTTTGTGCAATGGGACTTCTGTGGATTCTTATTCCGAATGGAGCTTTCAGTGATTGCTGACAAGCTGTTTCCCTTTGATCCCGCAAGCTTTGATGCAGAATGAGGAGCTGCAGTTAGAAAGAAATCAGGGAAATTCAGGTGTTTTCAGAAGTGTGTGGGTAGGAGATCTCAGCTGCAGTTTTCCGTATTCCCGATTTCATACAGTGCAATGCCTTGACTAAACCAGCTTACAAAAATTAGGAAAGCTTTCAAGAACTGCAGATGAGGAAAGAAGTTGCAAAAAGCAAGTTGGATGGAGAGAGGGAAGGCTGACAAGAAACAGTCAATCTGTTTGGTCAAGCGTCATAGCAGGGGAAGCGGGCGGGGTGGTGGTGCAGACTTGCTGACTGGTCTGTGCCAGGTGATGCAGTGCTGATAGATGTAAGGTTTCAAGTGCAGATTATTCTCCTGGTTTAAAATTTATTTATTTTAAATAAAAATAATAGTCTTTAGCTGTTAATGCAGCACTCTTTCCACCCTGGGCAACCCAGTAAGGCTGTTCCACTGGTGGAAAACAGAAGTAGGTAGTCTTAATATTAACCAAGCAGGAGGTATATTTAGATGCTGTGCGAAGCTTAAAGTTGCTAGAAGGCAAATGGGGAGTTTTATCCAGTAGCTGGGAGGAATAAATCCTCAGAGAAAAAAAAAGCATCAGCTTATTTTTTTTAATAAGTTCTGTTTTTATTTCCATGTAGTGGAATTTGTAGCTGTTTGAATTTGCACACTGGTGGTGCTTTATTTAGGTATTTATTATTACATTTATATGCTGCCTCATAGCCTGTGGGCTCTCTGGGCAGTTTACAAATATTAAAATAATAAATACAATTCAGAAAATACCCAAATACAGTATGACAGAGAACAACTATAGGTCAAGAGATCTAATAATTTTACCCCCCCAGACAGAGCAGCAATCAATATACAATTTTTAAAACTGGCTCAGCAAAAAACCCCACATAGGCTTAACCATTTTATTCTCCAGTTATTTTAATAGTTTTCACCTGGCGCTAAAAAGATGTTGGAGATTGTGCCAGGAACTCCTCTCAGAAACATGTTCCAGAGCTGGGGTGCCACTGCTTCTCTTGGTTGCTACCTCCATTACTTCTTTGGGGGGTTTCCTGAGAAGGACCTCTGCAGATGATTTTAAGGGTCAGGTAGGAACATATGAGACAAAGCACCGCTTCAAATAATCTGGCCCCAGGCCATTTAGGGCTTTACATGTAAGAGCAAGAACTTTGAAATAGGACTGGACGTCACTGGCAGACAGTGCAGTTGACGGAGGACTGGTGTGATGTCATTCCATCGGCCAGGCTGCATTAGTAGCTGTTGAGAAATGTCAGATGCTCCAGGCAATTGGCTGGTGAAGTCCTTTCTGATCTGGAAAGGAAACGAGGTATTCAGTTTCAAATCAATTTTATCTGTGGGGTGTTTTGCAGGAAATTTACAAAGATGCCAATACACAAGTTCACACTCTGAGAAAAATGGTGAAAGAAAAGGAGGAAGCCATCCAGAGACAGTCTACACTGGAGAAAAAGATTCATGAACTGGAGAAACAAGGTTCCATTAAAATCCAGAAGAAAGGAGATGGCGATATCAACATTCTTCCCGTTGGGGTTGCTTCTGGGACTTTGTCCTCAGGGTCAGAAGCGGCAGTGGGCACTTGTGGAGGTTCTGTTTCAGGCACTACATCTTCAGTTCCACTACCACCTCCGCCACCCCCCTTGCCACTGTCAGATGCAGAATTGGAAACAGGTGAGAAACAGGACCATTTAAAGGCAGAATACCATGGTTGGTTGGTTGGTTGGTTTGTTTATAAATTTATAAGCCACTGACTAACTTGACAGGGCTCTCTAAGTGGTGTACAATGTTAAAATATAAGCCAAAACATCACAATTCCTACTTTTAAAAAAACGGTTGGTACTGCAAGAGATCTTAAAACAACCAGTTGTTAAAATCAGATTTCAAAATGCCTACAAAAACAGTCAGTCTTCACCTGGCAGCAAAATGAAAGTAGTGTTGGCACCTGGCAGACTTCTTTAGGAGGCCCATTCCAAAGATGGGGTTGGGGGCAGCCACCAAGGCGGCTCATCTTCTATTTGCCATCCCTCTCACTTCCTTTAGGAAATTAGTGAGGATTTGTTTATGTGCTTTGATTGATTAAAAAAAAAACTTCATAGTCTCACCCTGGACACAATCACCCGAAGGTTAGATCCTTTAAAACCCATGGGGACATCCGTCTAATAACCAATTTCTTCCTTGTTGTTACTGCTGTGAACAAGGTATATTTCAAAAATAGCAGAAGTACAAAAAGGGACACATGTCCTAGCCCTGAGGAGCTTAATTGCGGTCCCTCGTCGTCTCTCCATAAGAAGTTATGGGCCAAATTCATAGGCAATGCAAAGCCAGAATGTTTTTTCAAGGCCACTAGTGTCCCATTAAGATGCCTATAATGGCTTGGTACTTGGTAACCTGAAGACAAGACCACCATGTTGATTGTCCTTAGTTCAGAGCAAATCTTTGGCATGGCCTGGCTTAGAGAGTGGAAGTAAGTGACAGCGACCTGTCCCACCCATGCCACACGCCTGTCAAGCTCCCGAGGAATGGGCGGAATCACCCTTGGCAGCAGGACAGGTTGTGTCCTCCAACCCCAGCCAGGGCCACTTGGTGCTGTGGTGAACAAGCCATGCAGAACCCCATGACAGCTGCCATGGCTTACTTTCGATTTATGAGCTGACAAACGCAGTCTGGGTGACAGTCATACCTTGGCTGAAGAGTTCCAGCCGTGAAACTTCTTTTTGTTTTGGCTGAGTCCTTTCAAATGCCTTGTTTCTTTTTCATTTCCACAGTGCAAAATGGTCCTGTGACAGCACCCATGCCTCCTCCCCTGCCACCACCTCCACCCCCACCGCCGCCACCGCCGCCTCTTCCTGGTCCAGCCACAGATCCAGTCCCGGCTCCCCCTGTCCCGCCCCCACCCCCACCTTCAGCACCACCTCTTCCAGGAACAGCCTCCCCTACCGTTGTCTTTAACTCAGGATTATCAGGTAAGAAATAGCATGCTCCCCTGGAGTGCCTTATAAATCCATTTATGGCCTAAAGAATTAACAGAAGGGGTCAAAGAAGGTTTTTTCCCACAAAAATGATCAAATGGACATAAGGGTGTTGTTGCACTCATGTCTTGTTTGTGGGTTTCCACAGGCAGCTGGTCAGCAAACCCGCTGGACTCGGTAGACCATTGGCCTGATCCAGTATGGCTGCTCTTAGGTCCTCATTTGATGTCTTTTGGTGACACTGGCCCAGTGGTGCAAAGTCTTAGCAACAGCATTGATTCCAAGGCAGGCTAATCTTCTAACTGCAGGGTGGCAGTAAGGTGATGCTGAGTACTTTCTGTGGAAAGTTTGAAAAAAGCTAAGGCTGCAGTCCTATACCCACTTACCTGGGACTAAGTTCTGTTGAACTCAATGGGACTTATTTTAAGTAGCTATGCATTTGGATTGCACTGTAAATCAGTGTTGTATCCCTTGTATCTGCCAGAAGGGGAGAAGATGAAGACCTTATGGAGATGATACAAAGGCTGAAAAGTTAAGATTCTCTTCTCCTTCTCCATTATGCTTTCAGGCTTTAAATTGGTGGGGAAATGCCTTGAGCCTGCCTTTTTAATGCTATTATAAATGGAGGCTTTATAGCAAAGGCAGGGAATGTGTGGTCCTCCAGATGTTGTTGGTCTGTAGGGATTATGCTCACTAGGGCTGATGGGAACTACACAAAAACATCAGGAGGCCACATGTTCCTGACCTCTGCTTCACATCGTTGTTACAGTTAGGGATGTGTGAGGAAACTATTTGGGAGTGGGAACCCATTGGGCTCCTTGGGCTTGGCTCCCTGGACGCTGGCCCACTTTGGCACTGCTGTGAGTCCAAGGTCCTGGTGATTGCACATTGCATTTATGTGGCACTTGAACTGAGGCTGCTGCCGGTTATGCAGCCTTTGTTCCACAAGCGATTTGGACTTGCACTTGGCTTGGCTTGGCTTGCCTTCTAAGACAGAGCTGAGCATGAGAAGAGATCCATGAATGCTAGAGGCTCAGGTTCTTCACAGCTTCGGTACATCCCTAGGTATAAGTAATTAGTACATTGGTAATGAAGAAGTGTTGGATGTCTCACCTCGTAAGGGTGACTTAGGGTTTCAAGAGATGAGACAGGCCTTTGTATGACAGTTGGAATGGCCGCCACAGAAGGCTTCTGCCCTTCCAGCCTAACCAGGTAGCTCAGTCATTCTGCCTCTGTGTTGTATTTCTGCTTGTTCAAAATGTGGTTAGTGTCAATACTCAACTGTGAAAGTTGAAAATCCTAGATAAAACTGTGTGCAGGTACACAAAGGGCATGTCCCTCCCCCTGTTTTGGATATATGACATTAGAACATGCTGGCAATCATTGTTAGGTAGCTGTCAATGTAAACCAGCATATTACTGAGTGTTCAGACATGCGTAGAATGTGTCTGGGATTTTCAGCACTCTGATGCAGTCTTGACATTCATCAGAACGTTGGACATTCCCTGTTTAAAAAATCAGGAGAGGTGACCATAACTTTGCATGCAGAAAGCTCCATACTCATGTCCCTGTCTGAGACTGCAGAGAGAATCGATGCTGTAAAGCTACATGGATGAAGAGTGTGACCTGGCAGAAGGCAGATTCCCAAGTACACAATAAAACAGAGCGGGGTGGGAGATGAAAGCAGAAGTACCGCTTGGGTGCTTCCATGCCATTTGGATATTTCTTTGGCACCACAGTGGTTCCAGCTAGCTAAGTGTAAGGCCCTCTAGAAAGGGCTTTTTCTATTTTTCTCTTTCTGACTTGGCTATAACACCCATAATTGATCAAGTAAGAGTTTAGCAGAGCATTGGATTCAGTTTCAGGTTCTTAAAAGGCATCACTGTGGCTGGGTGGCTCCATTACTTAACTTTCCAGATAGTTTGGGCTTCAGCTTTCAGTTTTCCTGTCCATTTCCTATACTAGCAGAGACTGATGGAAGTTGGAAATCCAAAAGAGCTGAGCATCTTCTGTCTGCCCACCCTTGAAACAGAGCATCCCTTCCTCAAGCCTCTTAATCTAGGAGAAAAGGGAGTAACAATTCTTGGTGGAAAAAATGCTGGAAGGGAAAGGGTCTGAAATCCCCTCCTGTCTCTCCTCTCTCCCTACATACTGCTCTTGTACTCCAGGCTGCAGCATCAGTGGCCACTTTTCAGAAAGAGTGCAGGGACTCAAAGGAGAAGTGGTAGTCAGCCGAGTGTACAATGTGTAGTTTAGATCTCATAAATGCCTGTACCTGCCAGACCGGAAAAGAAGGCTTATTTCATTTCCTGCCCACCAGGACTGGAAAATGGTGGCTGCATATGCTATCCATTTGAGACGGGTGTGATCATTTTTTATTTCATTGCCAAAGTTCTGTATTAAAGTTTCAAAATCTCTGTTCCAAAGAATGCCTCCCTAATTATTAAGACAGTGCTGCTGCTTCTGCCAGAGTTCCAAGTGTGACTTCATAATTCCTAAATCTGTCTGAACTTAATGGAAGTTTCACTCTCGGTCACTTTAGATGGAAGTCCTGTTTTGTCTAACCCAGGTATTTTACGCAGCAAGTTCCATTATCCCAGAACAACTCTCTAGAATAGAGAAGATGGTGACTCTCCTGCCAGAGGGCTGGATTCCCTCACACTCTGAGAACCATCAGTCTAGCCTTGGCTTTTGCAGCTTGCTAATTCACACTCAAAGCTCCTCTAAGTTAAGAGCTCTGCCATTCCTGAATGGCAGTTTGGGCCCATCAGTGTGCCACATAACTCGGTAAGTGGAGCAGCTGTCAACAAGCAAATGAATACCGGCTGGTATTGTGCAGATGAGACCACCTTCCCCAACATGATCCCTTCTAGAAGGAAGCCGCCTAGATTTGTTGGAATACAAATCCCAGCATACCCCAGCCTACTTGGGCACCAGGGTGGGGAAGCCTGGAATCAACCATAAAAGAATATTGTAATTGTAGATTGAGAGAGTTTGAGCTCTTTAATGTATTTTAAAGTCAGATGGCTGATTCTTACCATTCCAAGAATTCTGTCTAAGTCTTCATAGAACTTTTTTTTAAAAAGAAGCTGTGAGAAGCAAAGGTCCCGGGGGATACAGCAGAAACACCCCCTTTTCCATTATACTATTCCATCTGTGTCCCATTTTTAGAGATCCTGTGATACATACTCACTTAAAAGCAAGTCACACTGAGATGCTTCTGTGCCACTGGGGCATTTATTTGGCAGCACAGTGGCTTCGGCTAGCCAAATGCAAGGCCTTCTAGCAAGCACTTTCTTTCACCTTTCCCTTCCTGGCTTGGGTCCAGTGTCCATAGTTATTCATCCTCAGATGGTAAATGTGAAATTGGCAGAGGAGTGATTTAGTTTCAAGGTCTTAAAAGTGATCACACTGTCTGGGTGGCTCCATTCAGGCAATTATTGTTGGTTGTGTTTTTTCTCCTGCCATTTACAGTCCTTGGCCTGGTTGAATCATCATCAGTCACTGTCCTCCTTGGAGCTGAGGCCAAATCTAGTTGATGATTGGCTTGTGCAAACAACCACCCTAATGATGACTTCGTTAGGGTGGCCTAACCTTGGCCTAGAAGTTCCCCTGACAACCTGTGGCTTGTAGTAGGGCTTGCTTTGTTCTTGTGTCATCCGAACCCAGGTGGCACGACTCATCCAGAGTGAAGACAAAGCTTTAGAGCCGCTTGGCGAGAGGGGCAAAATCTCCTTGCTGGGTTGCAACTGGCTGAACCACTGCAGCCGCCCCCAAAGTGCTCAAGTGAGACTTGGGGGCAGCTGCAGAGTTTGACATGGCAGCACTGGGATAGCCTACCCACGATATGCCTGATCATCTGTTGGGCCCATCAGGGGTAGTGTAACAATGAGTTGTGCACCCAGTATCTTTCCTGAAAATGACCATTACTAGCACCAGAAGAGAGTTCAAAGCACCGGAATTTCATGTGTACTAATGGCCAAAAGGACATTAGGGAGAGAGAACTCCTAATATGTTTGTTACTTATTCTCCTAGCAACTGAATGATAAAAGAATGAAAGAATGCCATTTATGAGTTCGGGTACAGGATTGCGTTTTCAATTAAAGAATAAAAATCTAGAGATTAGCAAACATAAAATATTAGATGTGAAGAAAGGTATTCCAGAGGGTAAAAAGACAATTCAGCCATAAAATTTGGCATCCCTAAATCCACTTGTTAGATTGCCAGGGTGGTGACAGGCAGTACGCAGATCCATTTCCTGGGACTGCAGTTTGTGCTTTACCATCTGGAGAAGGTAAAGAAGAGCAGAAATCTCTTCTTATGAGGAGGAAATGCGTAAACCAATGCAAGCATGGAAAGGCCTGCCTTCTCTCAGTTCCTCTGAGTACACTGGGGAACTTGGATGATTGGTTAGTGATCACCCTGAAATAATGGCTGGCTAATGATCCAAACTAATGGCTGTGGATCTCTGGATAAAGTAGCACATCTGGTATAATTTTCAACTTTTGCAGCACCCAAACAAACCTGCTGGAACTTCCTGCAGAGCTGCTGCTGAGAGCTGGGGGTCTTCCAAAAGGATATTCCACTGAGGCGCAAGGGATAATGACTGAAGCAGATCACGGTCAGGCCTCCTCCTCACACCTGCCTCATGCATGTCTGGACGTGCTTGGCATACTTGCTGATCTGAATCTGGCTAAAATTTCAAACCTGATTTAAAAAACAAAAGCAAACAACCCCTAACTTGGTATTAAGGGGCTTTAAGGAGAGTAAGCTCCTTTGCTTCATTCAGCTACTTAATTGGTTCTAGAAGAAGGTTAGGGTTAGGGTTAGGGTTAGGGTTGGGTTGAGAGTTGATGAAAAGCTGGTGTGCTGATTAAGATACTGGTGTGTACACTAACAGATTTGTTGTTCACACCTGGTTCATCAGCCGGAGGAATTTGAGTCATATACACAAAGGAATGTGCACTTAGAAATAGCTCCTTTCATTGTAAAGAA